TATAAAAACTATATTATACAGTACAAAGTTTCGTGGAGGGGTGAGTGCTGTTTTATTTTTATATTCAGTATTTGTAATTTTGGTAAAAATATACTTACGAGTGCCCCTATGCGATTTTTGGTGATATATGGATACCGAGTTTGTGCAATTATTTGACTTGTTATTTTGGCTTCACACAAAGACAGAATAAGAAGACAAAGAATAGCACTAACTCGTTATCCATGTACACATCGACCTATCTCTATCCATGTACACATCAACTTATTTTCACTTAAAATAAATATCACAGAATTGCAGAAAATGGGCATAGCGCGCTTCCTTGACTTTGTCCATGTACACATCGAAGTATATTCACTTAAAAAGTCAAAAGAGCAGCCAACAAAAAATATATAATCTCAATGGGCTAAAGTGCAGAATCATCCACTTATTTGATTGCGTTTGTTTGGCGCCGCTTTTTTAAGTGTTCGAGAATTGGATTTTTGTCATTTTTTGACTTTTTTTGAAAGTGGTCATGTTATCAAAAAGTAAGGGAGTGTGCAATGCCATTTTGTGCAATTCTGGATTTTTTTTTAAATGAAAATAGGTCATATGTACATGGATATGAGTATGTGCAATCTAAAAACGCGCCAAGCAGTGGGTGATTCTGCACTTCCCCTCTCATAAACAGTTTTAATAAATCAGAAAAAAAAATAAAGAGGAATTCAGTTTTGCACTACCCAAGGAAATATCCCTACCTATTTATTAATTAACAGTCTATGAGAATAAAATTCTTAACAGTATCCAAAAAACTCCAAAATTATTGAACTAGAACTCATACTGACATCGCACTAATTCACACAATAAGTAAAAAAATATCCTTGTAGCGCAGTTCGCTGACGTTGACATACCATTTCTTCATAAAACCACATTTAATAATGGCTACAATTAAGCCTTCATTTACTCACAGTTCATTAATGTATTTCCCTTGTCCAATTGCACAGAAATTCAATTACTTAACAGTTCAGCATTTTACTGTCTGAACAGTAATAATAAATAAAGAAATGTACTCCTAACCACAACACACAAGCCCTACAATCTTTCCCTACTCAAAATTACGCAATCGGCAGATTAGTCATAAAGGGTTTCATACATTCAACTACTCAGGTTATCATAAATGAAACAACAGCTTCCTTATAATACAAAGGTCACCCTTCAACCTATTCTTACCATAATTTTTAATAACATGTAAAGTTTTGAGTGATAAAATTTCTGCGAATTGCTTCTGCAGTGCTACATTTCCTAAATTCTTCATTTTAGGTTAAACATAAATTTTTAATTCGTAAAGGATAATGTTTCCTTTAAGAACTGTATATGTTATGTAAAGTGACAGAAAAATAATTTTTAAAAGGAAAATTTCTAATTATTCGAAGAATTTTCTTGCATTATGACGCTGAAAATGTATTAGTAAATATATAAAGAAAGAAATTTAGAACCAATTTTTCACAAAGGCCAAAAATTGAAATTCATAAGCAATAAATTTTAAAATATCCCATAAATTTACAAAAAAAGAATTTAACACATAATAAAACTAAAATTCTTCAAGTAAAACCAAAAATAATAAAAAAAAAAAAAAAAAAAGAGCAAAAGGAAAATGAAAGCAGAATTCAATCAATTTCAGTGCCATGTCATCAGGAGGAGGAAACATTGAAACCAATTAAAATCTCTCTTCCATAAAAAATCCTTTCTTTTCTGTAACCAGAAATAGCTGATGAACCATTCCAATGTATTTTAATAATAATAGTTCACCAGAAAATTATGGCTCTCTCCTAAAGTGAAGGAAAATGGCAAAAATACGAAGAAAAACATGAAAAATATTGGCTGATCTTTGGAATATGGTAACTGGTAGTTTGGCGACATTTTGGAGGCGATAAAGTACGCCTAGGATTTGGTATATGGAGAAGTACTCAGTACCGATATGCATTATTTTGTGTGAGGGAAATGAGAGATCATGAGATAGTCATGTGACTTAATGGATGATTAAGTCTTCATTGAAAAAAGGAGAAATCTGGATTGTATTTAGCTTATTCTGTGTGTGTGAAACGTGTGTAATTTTGGATCCCGGCCTAACTAAAATGATCGAAAGGGTTATAGTGGGAGAAAGGGTAGAATAGTGTTTTTTTAAGGTGTGTGCGAGATAGAAGTAAAGATGTTTATTAGTATTATTTACATGGTACTGCTGGATTTAAAGATCTGAAACAGGGCACATATGCTGCTGTTTTTTAGCGGAGAATAAGAAAAGTTTATTGACCACGTAATCAAGATCTGACAGATTAGATTCGTATTTTAATTATTGAGGATATTATTTTATGCTTTTCTAAATGTAAGGAGTAAAAATTATATGCTTTATTGGAAAATGTTATAGCAATGATTTAGTTTAAGATAATTAGGATGTTTAAGCTATTTTTATTATTTTAAGGCTTATTTATATTTTAAGTAGGTTTTGAATTAATTATATTTTAATTAAATGTAGTATTTGTGAATATTATTTGTAGGAATTTGGTACAGTCAAAAGTCTTATCCGGACTCGCGGACGGCGATCGGATTATAGTCTAGTTAATTGAAAGATGGCATGCAGAAACTATAAATTTAAAATATGAACTGTAATTTATAAAATAATGAGCATTATGATCTAAAGGGTATCGAAATTACAAAAAAAGAGCTTAATTTATTTGTTACTTATTAATATTCTTCACGCGCGATGCGTAAAGATACCTTAGCATAGCAAAATTAGAAATTGCAACCAGAAAACTATTGATTGGTTGTGATATTATATGACGAGAATTGATTTAATATACAAAGACAGTAATCTAGATTAAATATACATTAGTAAGTAATATAGCCGCAATAAAATAAATAAAACACTCCTAAGAAACGATAGTGCTGACAGATAACTTCCAGTCATTGCCGCGCCGCGAGTCCCCCCCCCCGCGCAGAGCAGAGTGAAATTGACAACAGATTTCGGAACCGAGATAAAAAAGGATATGCTTATCCATTTTTATAGCAATTCATTTTTGTTTGATGGAAATCGAAGCATACTTCGTTTTAAGACCTTGGGAGCTCAGCTAGGAAATTCTATTTGACATAATCGAAAGTTCAAGCTACTTTATAAAATTGCTTTACAGTTTCAAAAAAGAATAGCCGGACCAATTCGAAGATTAGGACAAGCAATCATCAAATTAACTGAAAGATAATTTAGCTTCCCGTCGTTTTACATTAACACGCACGCGAAAACGTATTTTGCGCTGCGAGACACAATGCGCAGTCGTAAGTCTTGCGCGCAACACGTAAATGCCTTGCGGGGCGCATGGCAGAAAGATTTAGCTTGAGGCCGGATAGGGGGTCCGAATAACGAATTTTGACTTATACGTTCGTGGAAGTAAAATGCATGGTAATAATTAAATATTGATTACTAAGTATTTAACCATTTAGTTTGAGGTATGATCGTGGTGACGTTATAAGATAATAGATAATTAGAGGTAAAAGTTTTGAATTTATTTATTTATCTGAATGTTCTCTTAGAAGGTATATACTTTTCGCGATCAGGTAATTTCATATATGTTCTTTTACGGATTTAAAGAGTCACAAAATTTTCATGCATTTCGTGAACTTTTTAATTTATGAGAAAAAAGCGTGTACATGGATATAGTGAAGAGTGTGCGCATGCTTTTTGGCATTCGGGGAGTTTTTGAAGTAAAAAAGTCGATGTGACATGGTTAGTGATATTTAATTAAATGAGTTATTGTGAATTTTATGTTTGGGAATTGGTACGTTCAGTTGACGTAAACGGCATGGAAAATATTAAATGTTGCATAAGTATTGTAACCATGTAATGTTGCGGTATGAATTGTTGGTGACGTTAAATATATAGATAATTTAGAAGTAAAGTTTTGGAATTTATTTATTTTATAGTGGAAATGTTCATCCTTACGACTTTCGAAAGGTATAATTTTCGCGATAGTAATTTATATATGCCTTAGGAGTTAAAGAGTCACAGATTTTTTTCATTTCGTGCAAATTTTGAATTTATGAAAAAAGAGTGTAGATGGCTAAAGTTAGAGGTGTGCAATGCCATTTTGTGAATTTGGGATTTGTTAGTAAAAATAAGCGAGTGTAAGTGGTTTATGGTATGTGCTATTCTGAAAAACGCGGAAGGAGTGACGAGTGCACATTTCCCAATTTTGCAGTTAATATTATCATGATAAGCAGATTTGTTACATAAAATTTCTAGCATAAGTGAATCGGCTGTAGATAATTGGAAAGGGAGTAAATAAAAAGAGAAGAACATGTCTTTACTAGTGAAGACAAATGGCGCGAAAAAAAAATAGAGGGGTGCTGTAGCAGAGTTAGTACCAATGTGCCAAAAAAATCGCCAGTCCATAACAAAGATCAAGCAAATATTTCCATTGAAAAGACGGTAAAACTAAATTGACGTGCCCCTATTAATTTTTGCAGTACATGGACACAGAGTTATGCATTTTGTTGTATTTAGCTTGGTGCGGCTTTTTGGAGGAAATCGCCCTAAAAAAGCCAAAATAACAAGTCAAAGAAATGCACAACTAGATAAGTAAATCGACCTATTTTCACTTCAAAAAACATCACAGAATTGCACAAACTCGGCATTGTGCACAAAAAATATATAATCTTAATAAACTGTGTTTTAAATCAAACAATGAAATAACACAAAAAAGCGCTATGCACTACACAAAGGAAATAGCCACTTACCTTATTTAGAAATTTCTCTGTCTTCAGCCTGTGGCACACAAAATTCCTAAACAGCATCCAAAAAGTTTCCTCAAACCATGTCCCCTTTCTAACGGAATGGTTTATATGGTGACGATTTGAACCTTTCTTCTGACAAACCCATTCAAAGCCATCTGAACGACCTTTACATTCGACCATATGCATTTCCTTTGTACAAACAGGACACTTATAATTGCTATTAAGTAAACCTTCATTTACACACCAATCAATTAATGCTTCCTCCCCTTCGTCCAAATCCTA